GCAGGGCGGAAAGGAATATACGAAACATAAACAGCCTAGTGCACGATGCAATTTTTCTCAATGGACGAACACAGCTTAGAATTTCTAGTTTTTTTTTTTAGAAGCGTAAAGAACACCGGAAAGTTTAAAATACACAGAACAAAATGGTCATAATTGAAGCAGTAACAAACAACTTACATGATCTAACCTTATTCTAAATTTATTTAACTATCACTTTGACAAAACTGAAATGAGTCTCAATTGGAGAAAAAAAATTACACCATTCCATTCCATCCACGTGAAATTAGGAATATCGCCTCATTTAATAAGGAAACACATTTTTCCTCGAAGAACTTCTTTTTCGCGTAAAAAAAAATTGCTGACGCAGCAGTTATTATTTTTTTAAATCAAAATCTTTCAGTTCCTGCCGACTTGAATGACGTGTATGTAAGACAAACTGTGTGAATGAGCTATCAAGCCCGATGACGTGTATGTAAGACAAACTGTGCGAGCGACTGAGCTATCAAGCCTGATGACGTGTATGTAAGACAAACTGTGCGACTGAGCTATCAAGCCCGATGACGTGTATGTAAGACAAACTGTGCGAGCGACTGAGCTATCAAGCCCGATGACGTGTATGTAAGACAAACTGTGTGAGCGACTGAGCTATCAAGCCCGATGACGTGTATGTAAGACAAACTGTGTGACTGAGCTATCAAGCCCGATGACGTGTATGTAAGACAAACTGTGTGACTGAGCTATTAAGCCTGATGACGTGTATGTAAGACAAACTGTGCGAGCGACTGAGCTATCAAGCCCGATGACGTGTATGTAAGACAAACTGTGCGAGCGACTGAGCTATCAAGCCCGATGACGTGTATGTAAGACAAACTGTGCGAGCGACTGAGCTATCAAGCCCGATGACGTGTATGTAAGACAAACTGTGCGAGCGACTGAACTATCAAGCCCGATGACGTGTATGTAAGACAAACTGTGCGAGCGACTGAACTATCAAGCCCGATGACGTGTATGTAAGACAAACTGTGCGAGCGACTGAGCTATCAAGCCCGATGACGTGTATGTAATACAAACTGTACGAGCGACTGAGCTATCAAGCCCGATGACGTGTATGTAAGACAAACTGTGCGAGCGACTGAGCTATCAAGCCCGATGACGTGTATGTAATACAAACTGTACGAGCGACTGAGCTATCAAGCCCGATGACGTGTATGTAAGACAAACTGTGCGACTGAGCTATCAAGCCCGATGACGTGTATGTAAGACAAACTGTGCGAGCGACTGAGCTATTAAGCCCGATGACGTGTATGTAAGACAAACTGTACGAGCGACTGAGCTATCAAGCCCGATGACGTGTATGTAAGACAAACTGTGTGACTGAGCTATCAAGCCCGATGACGTGTATGTAAGACAAACTGTGCGAGCGACTGAGCTATTAAGCCTGATGACGTGTATGTAAGACAAACTGTACGAGCGACTGAGCTATCAAGCCCGATGACGTGTATGTAAGACAAACTGTGCGACTGAGCTATCAAGCCCGATGACGTGTATGTAAGACAAACTGTGCGAGCGACTGAGCCCGATGATGGGCGAGACACATTAGGGCTCTAGCTGGCCATACCACGTCCTGTAAGCAACTGTTAATAGAAGATCCCTGTAGGCCAACAGGCTGAACCTATGGGCTGTGCCGCTTGATGACGTCTGATTACAAACTAGAGAACTGTCATGGCCTTACAAGATGATTGATGGAGCAGAAAAGTGAAAGACGGGCTCGGATTACAAGCACAGCATGGGCTCGCTTCATCTTAGCAGCAGAGAAACCGTTAGGTGTGGAGATATCTTGACCTCATAGCACTGACCCAAACTGATCCACATTAGCAGCCGAGAGAGATGTTTGCGTGTATATATATATATATATATATATATATATATATATATATATATATATATATATATATATATATATATATATATATATATATATATATATATATATATATACATATATATATATATATATATATATATATATATATATATATATATATATATATATATATATATATATATATATATATATATATATGTGTGTGTGTGTGTGTGTGAATGCACCCAAACATCTTTCTCAGCCGCTAATGTGGATCAGTGTGGGTCAATGTAATAGGTTAAATATATTTTCACATTAAACGGTTTCTTTGGTCCGTGCTGAAATATGATGGATAGTAAGATAAAATGTGCTAGATAGTTCTGTCTTTAGATCAACTCTAGATTGTGATGGATAGTAAGATAAAATGTGCTAGATAGTTCGGTCTCTAGATCAACTAGATTGTGATGGATAGTAAGATAAAATGTGCTAGATAGTTCGGTCTTTAGATCAACTCTAGATTGTGATGGATAGTAAGATAAAATGTGCTAGATAGTTCGGTCTTTAGATCAACTCTAGATTGTGATGGATAGTAAGATAAAATGTGCTAGATAGTTCGGTCTTTAGATCAACTCTAGATTGTGATGGATAGTAAGATAAAATGTGCTAGATAGTTCGGTCTTTAGATCAACTCTAGATTGTGATGGATAGTAAGATAAAATGTGCTAGATAGTTCGGTCTCTAGATCAACTCTAGATTGTGATGGATAGTAAGATAAAATGTGCTAGATAGTTCGGTCTCTAGATCAACTCTAGATTGTGATGGATAGTAAGATAAAATGTGCTAGATAGTTCGGTCTCTAGATCAACTAGATTGTGATGGATAGTAAGATAAAATGTGCTAGATAGTTCGGTCTCTAGATCAACTCTAGATTGTGATGGATAGTAAGATAAAATGTGCTAGATAGTTCGGTCTCTAGATCAACTAGATTGTGATGGATAGTAAGATAAAATGTGCTAGATAGTTCGGTCTCTAGATCAACTCTAGATTGTGATGGATAGTAAGATAAAATGTGATAGATAGTTCGGTCTCTAGATCAACTCTAGATTGTAATGGATAGTAAGATAAAATGTGCTAGATAGTTCGGTCTTTAGATCAACTCTAGATTGTGATGGATAGTAAGATAAAATGTGCTAGATAGTTCGGTCTTTAGATCAACTCTAGATTGTGATGGATAGTAAGATAAAATGTGCTAGATAGTTCGGTCTTTAGATCAACTAGATTGTGATGGATAGTAAGATAAAATGTGCTAGATAGTTCGGTCTTTAGATCAACTCTAGATTGTGATGGATAGTAAGATAAAATGTGCTAGATAGTTCGGTCTTTAGATCAACTCTAGATTGTGATGGATAGTAAGATAAAATGTGCTAGATAGTTCGGTCTCTAGATCAACTATAGATTGTGATGGATAGTAAGATAAAATGTGCTAGATAGTTCGGTCTCTAGATCAACTCTAGATTGTGATGGATAGTAAGATAAAATGTGCTAGATAGTTCGGTCTTTAGATCAACTAGATTGTGATGGATAGTAAGATAAAATGTGCTAGATAGTTCGGTCTCTAGATCAACTAGATTGTGATGGATAGTAAGATAAAATGTGCTAGATAGTTCGGTCTCTAGATCAACTAGATTGTGATGGATAATAAGATAAAATGTGCTAGATAGTTCGGTCTCTAGATCAACTAGATTGTGATGGATAGTAAGATAAAATGTGCTAGATAGTTCGGTCTCTAGATCAACTCTAGATTGTGATGGATAGTAAGATAAAATGTGCTAGATAGTTCGGTCTCTAGATCAACTCTAGATTGTGATGGATAGTAAGATAAAATGTGCTAGATAGTTCGGTCTCTAGATCAACTAGATTGTGATGGATAGTAGGATATAATGTGCTAGATAGTTCGGTCTCTAGATCAACTAGATTGTGATGGATAGTAAGATAAAATGTGCTAGATAGTTCGGTCTCTAGATCAACTCTAGATTGTGATGGATAGTAAGATAAAATGTGCTAGATAGTTCGGTCTTTAGATCAACTAAATTGTGATGGATAGTAAGATAAAATGTGCTAGATAGTTCGGTCTCTAGATCAACTCTAGATTGGGATGGATAGTAAGATAAAATGTGCTAGATAGTTCGGTCTTTAGATCAACTAAATTGTGATGGATAGTAAGATAAAATGTGCTAGATAGTTCGGTCTCTAGATCAACTCTAGATTGGGATGGATAGTAAGATAAAATGTGCTAGATAGTTCGGTCTCTAGATCAACTCTAGATTGTGATGGATAGTAAGATAAAATGTGCTAGATAGTTCGGTCTTTAGATCAACTCTAGATTGTGATGGATAGTAAGATAAAATGTGCTAGATAGTTCGGTCTTTAGATCAACTAGATTGTGATGGATAGTAAGATAAAATGTGCTAGATAGTTCGGTCTCTAGATCAACTAGATTGTGATGGATAGTAAGATAAAATGTGCTAGATAGTTCGGTCTCTAGATCAACTAGATTGTGATGGATAGTAAGATAAAATGTGCTAGATAGTTCGGTCTTTAGATCAACTCTAGAATGTGATGGATAGTAAGATAAAATGTGCTAGATAGTTCGGTCTTTAGATCAACTAGATTGTGATGGATAGTAAGATAAAATGTGCTAGATAGTTCGGTCTCTAGATCAACTCTAGATTGTGATGGATAGTAAAATAAAATGTGCTAGATAAACTCTGTTTTTTTCTAAAGTATTGCAGTAAACTAAAAGTACAAATGTAGTATTGTAATAAACTACATAGGCAAATGTAGTTTTGAAGTAAACTTAATGTACACATGAAGTATTGCAGTAAACTTAATGCACAAATGTAGGTAGTATTGCAGTAAACTTAATGCGCAAATGTAGGTAGTATTGCTGTAAACTTAATATACAAATATAGTATTGTATATTTTAAATGGATTGATGCACGTGAAAGCTGAGAAACATTTAAAGAAAGGTGGACTAGATTAATTTGCTGCCTCTTTCAGAAAACAGTAAAAGACGTGTTGTTTGAACTATTAAGAACGCCACATCCGATGACCAACTACCATGTCCAGCACATACCTGAGGGAGCAGGCGTGAAGGGCTTCTGACGTGTCCACTGGGGGCAGCTTGTCCACCCCGAGGTCAGCGCTGGCGTAGCTGTCCAAACTTTCTATGCTGACACTGCTGGCTCGACTGCTGCTGCTCCCAGTCTTCCTCGAGTTGGTGCGGCGTAGGACGGTGAGGGATCCCGTCCCTGGGAGACAAGAGGCAATGGCTCAATACACTCATTACACGCATACACACATATACACACACACACACACACACAAACACACATATATATATATATATATATATATATATATATATATATATATATATATATATATATATATATATATGAGACGTAACAATTTGTAAACTGGATAAATAGTGTGACTATTTTTACATTAAATGAAATACGGTAGCAATCACAAATCACAGGCTGTGATTTACAGAGCACTGGAGCCTTGAAAGAGGAGAGAGTTTTATTCTTAAAGTGACATCAAGAGTACCAAGACCCAACTTAAGGAGAGTCCTACGTCATCATGTGTGGGTACAGGAGCGCTGTGAGAAGAATGCTGGGGTGCAGTTTAAAGTAGGGGAGGGTTGGATGGGGGGGGGGGGGGGAAGAAGCAGCACGTTTACTGCCCTAAAGCTGTGTTGATGAAAGTGATATCTTTAGGTTTCTTGACAATATTTGGAATTCTAAAAGATCAACATTACAATAATTAACTTTCTGGCATACACGTTTTAAACACAAACAGCCAATGTCTGTGTTTTTCCTGTAGTTAGACCGTCGTGTCTGTGTTGTTCCTGTAGTTAGACCGTCGTGTCTGTGTTGTTCCTGTAGCTAGACCATCGTGTCTGTGTTGTTCCTGTAGTTAGACCGTCGTGTCTGTGTTGTTCATGTTGATAGACCGTCGTGTCTGTGTTGTTCCTGTAGCTAGACCGTCGTGTCTGTGTTGGTTCATGTAATTAGACCGTCGTGTCTGTGTTGTTCCTGTAGTTAGACCGCCGTGTCTGTGTTGTTCCTGTAGTTAGACCGTCGTGTCTGTGTTATTGGTTCCTGTAGTTAGACCGTCGTGTCTGTGTTGTTCCTGTAGTTAGACCGTCGTGTCTGTGTTGTTGGTTCATGTAGTTAGACCGTCGTGTCTGTGTTGTTCCTGTAGTTAGACCGTCGTGTCTGTGTTGTTCCTGTAGTTAGACCGTCGTATCTGTGTTGTTCATGTAGTTATACCGTCGTGTCTGTGTTGTTCCTGTAGTTAGACCGTCGTGTCTGTATTGTTCATGTAGTTAGACCGTCGTGTCTGTGTTGTTCCTGTAGTTAGACCGTCGTGTCTGTGTTGTTCATGTAGTTATACCGTCGTGTCTGTGTTGTTCATGTAGTTAGACCGTCGTGTCTGTGTTGTTACTGTAGTTAGACCGTCGTGTCTGTGTTGTTTCTGTAGTTAGACCATCGTGTCTGTGTTGTTCCTGTAGTTAGACCGTCGTGTCTGTGTTGTTCATGTTGATAGACCATCGTGTCTGTGTTGTTCCTGTAGTTAGACCGTCGTGTCTGTGTTGTTCATGTTGATAGACCATCGTGTCTGTGTTGTTCATGTAGTTAGACCGTCGTATCTGTGTTGTTCATGTAGTTAGACCGTCGTGTCAGTGTTGTTCCTGTAGTTAGACCGTCGTGTCTGTGTTGTTCCTGTAGTTAGACCGTCGTGTCTGTGTTGTTCATGTAGTTAGACCGTCGTATCTGTGTTGTTCCTGTAGTTAGACCGTCGTATCTGTGTTGTTCATGTAGTTAGACCGTCGTGTCTGTGTTGTTGGTTCCTGTAGTTAGACCGTCGTGTCTGTGTTGTTCCTGTAGTTAGACCGTCGTGTCTGTGTTGTTCCTGTAGTTAGACCGTCGTATCTGTGTTGTTCCTGTAGTTAGACCGTCGTGTCTGTGTTGTTACTGTAGTTATACCGTCGTGTCTGTGTTGTTCATGTAGTTAGACCGTCGTGTCTGTGTTGTTGGTTCCTGTAGTTAGACCGTCGTGTCTGTATTGTTCATGTAGTTAGACCGTCGTGTCTGTGTTGTTCATGTAGTTAGACCGTCGTGTCTGTGTTGTTCATGTAGTTAGACCGTCGTGTCTGTGTTGTTCATGTAGTTAGACCGTCGTGTCTGTGTTGGTTCATGTAGTTAGACCGCCGTGTTTGTGTTGATCCTGTAGTTAGACCGTCGTGTCTGTGTTGTTCCTGTAGTTAGACCATCGTGTCTGTGTTGTTCCTGTAGTTAGACCGTCGTGTCTGTGTTGTTCATGTTGATAGACCATCGTGTCTGTGTTGTTCATGTAGTTCGACCGTCGTATCTGTGTTGTTCATGTTGATAGACCATCGTGTCTGTGTTGTTCCTGTAGTTAGACCGTCGTGTCTGTGTTGTTCATGTTGATAGACCATCGTGTCTGTGTTGTTCCTGTATTTAGACCGTCGTGTCTGTGTTGTTCATGTAGACCGTCGTGTCTGTGTTGTTCCTGTAGTTAGACCGTCGTGTCTGTGTTGTTCCTGTAGTTAGACCGTCGTGTCTGTGTTGTTCATGTAGACCGTCGTGTCTGTGTTGTTCATGTTGATAGACCGTCGTGTCTGTGTTGTTTCTGTAGTTAGACCGTCGTGTCTGTGTTGTTCCTGTATTTAGACCGTCGTGTCTGTGTTGTTTCTGTATTTAGACCGTCGTGTCTGTGTTGTTCATGTTGATAGACCGTCGTGTCTGTGTTGTTTCTGTATTTAGACCGTCGTGTCTGTGTTGTTTCTGTAGTTAGACCGTCGTGTCTCTGTTGTTCCTGTAGTTAGGCCGTCGTGTCTGTGTTCCTGTATTTAGACCGTCGTGTCTGTGTTGTTCATGTAGACCGTTGTGTCTGTGTTGTTGGATCATGTAGTAGGACTGACATGTTTACTAGAGAACATTGCTGGAACAAACGACTTACTGGAGAGTTGACCATTCCTCGTCCCCACATTACTGTCGTCTTTAGCTCGCTCTGGTGGGTTGGCAACTGTAAAAGAGAAAGTTAATTGTTTGTAACCTTATCAAAGATGAAATACAATACTTGTCTTGCTACACATAAAAGAGAAAGTTAATTGTTTGTAACCTTATCAAAGATGAAATACAATACTTGCTACACATAAAAGAGAAAGTTAATTGTTTGTAACCTTATCAAAGATGAAATACAATACTTGCTACACATAAAAGAGAAAGTTAATTGTTTGTAACCTTATCAAAGATGAAATACTATACTTGTCTTGCTACACATAAAAGAGAAAGTTAATTGTTTGTAACCTTATCAAAGATGAAATACAATACGTGTCTTGCTACACATAAAAGAGAAAGTTAATTGTTTGTAACCTTATCAAAGATGAAATACAATACGTGTCTTGCTACACATAAAAGAGAAAGTTAATTGTTTGTAACCTTATCAAAGATGAAATACAATACGTGTCTTGCTACACATAAAAGAGAAAGTTAATTGTTTGTAACCTTATCAAAGATGAAATACAATACGTGTCTTGCTACACATAAAAGAGAAAGTTAATTGTTTGTAACCTTATCAAAGATGAAATACAATACGTGTCTTGCTACACATAAAAGAGAAAGTTAATTGTTTAGATTCGTATTTGGATAAAAAGAATATTGCTGGGTGCTAATATGACAAGTGCATAAAATGAAAAGTTAAATGGAGGAATTCAACAGGAAGACCAGGTAACATGGTTTGTCCTTACAAGGTCAACATTAGGTCAACAAATTAGAAAAGTACAGTTCATATGCTCATCGCGTCAAAGCATCCTTACAAAGTCAACATTAGGTACACAAATTAGAAAAAATACAGTTCATATGCTCATCGCGTCAAAGCAAAAAGAATCCTGATCCAACCTGCCCCTTCACTAACCCCCCCCCCCCCCCCCACACACACTAGTTTTAGTAATTATCAGGACCGACGTAGTCGGAGAACTTTGGTGTGACGTTTTCATTAAGTCAGCCCTGCTAAATGAATTAGCATGAAATAATGATGGCGAGACCTAGACCAATCCTTATGTCCGTTTTTTTCTAGAAAGACTTTCTTCGAACTGTCTGCTTGTTTCCCAAACTGGATTGTAGATGTCAACATCACTTCTGATGTTTGCATGACATATATGATTACTCAATAGTTCGAATACGTCTATCTGCCTATATGATTACCCAATAGTTCGAATACGTCCATCTCCCTACATGATTACCCAAAAGTTCGAATACGTCCATCTGCCTATATGATTACCCAATAATTGGAATACTTCCATCTCCCTACATGATTACCCAATAGTTCGAATACTTCAATCTCCCTACATGATTACCCAAAAGTTCGAATACGTCCATCTGCCTATATGATTACCCAATAGTTCGAATACTTCCATCTCCCTACATGATTACCCAATAGTTCGAATACTTCCATCTCCCTACATGATTACCCAATAGTTCGAATACTTCCATCTCCCTATATGATTACCCAATAGTTCGAATACTTCCATCTCCCTACATGATTACCCAATAGTTCGAATACTTCCATCTCCCTACATGATTACCCAATAGTTCGAATACTTCCATCTCCCTATATGATTACCCAATAGTTCGAATACTTCCATCTCCCTACATGATTACCCAATAGTTCGAATACGTCCATCTGCCTATATGATTACCCAATAGTTCGAATACTTCCATCTGCCTATATGATTACCCAATAGTTCGAATACTTCCATCTCCCTACATGATTACCCAATAGTTCGAATACTTCCATCTCCTTATATGATTACCCAATAGTTCGAATACTTCCATCTCCCTACATGATTACCCAATAGTTCGAATACGTCCATCTGCCTATATGATTACCCAATAGTTCGAATACTTCCATCTGCCTATATGATTACCCTGCAAGTGGCCAGCGATACCAAATGGCGATTCCATCCATCCAGTGGGCCCGTCCCCCGGGAGCCATTAACGTGTAGACCTAGTGTGGGGCGGGCGGTCCCGCAGGTCATTATTATGCATGTGTATGAGATTGATTTCTGATATATTAAGAACATAAAGCAATTAAGCTCTTCGTATCAAGCGGGGGCAGGGAGGCGGCAGTAAAAGACTGATAAGATGGCGAACATAAAATGGCGCCACCCGTAGACCAAAGCTAATTATGTGGTAACAGATGCTGATAGCTGTAGGGGCGGGGATCGGTTTGGTATGATGGGTGTGGCTTGATCGGTGTGGTTTGATCGGTGTGGTTTGATCGGTGTGGTTTGATCGGTGTGGTTTGATCGGTGTGGTTTGATCGGTGTGGTTTGATCGGTGTGGTTTGGGGTCAAATAGTTTCAGCTAGGAATGGTGTCAGCTAGGAATGGTGTCAGCTAGGAATGGTGTCAGCTAGGAATGGTGTCAGCTAGGATTGGTGTCAGCTAGGAATGGTGTCAGCTAGGAATGGTGTCAGCTAGGATTGGTGTGGAATGGTGTCAGCTAGGAATGGTGTCAGCTAGGAATGGTGTCAGCTAGGATTGGTGTGGAATGGTGTCAGCTAGGAATGGTGTCAGCTAGGATTGGTGTGGAATGGTGTCAGCTAGGAATGGTGTCAGCTAGGAATGGTGTCAGCTAGGAATGGTGTCAGCTAGGAATGGTGTCAGCTAGGATTGGTGTGGAATGGTGTCAGCTAGGAATGGTGTCAGCTAGGAATGGTGTCAGCTAGGAATGGTGTCAGCTAGGATTGGTGTGGAATGGTGTCAGCTAGGAATGGTGTCAGCTAGGAATGGTGTCAGCTAGGATTGGTGTGGAATGGTGTCAGCTAGGAATGGTGTCAGCTAGGAATGGTGTCAGCTAGGAATGGTGTCAGCTAGGAATGGTGTCAGCTAGGATTGGTGTGGAATGGTGTCAGCTAGGATTGGTGTGGAATGGTGTCAGCTAGGAATGGTGTCAGCTAGGAATGGTGTCAGCTAGGAATGGTGTCAGCTAGGATTGGTGTCAGCGAGGAATGGTGTCAGCTAGGAATGGTGTCAGCTAGGAATGGTGTCAGCTAGGAATGGTGTCAGCTAGGAATGGTGTCTACTAGGAATGGTGTAAGCTAGGAATGGTGTCAGCTAGGAATGGTGTGGAATGGTGTCAGCTAGGAATGGTGTCAGCTAGGATTGGTGTCAGCTAGGAATGGTGTCAGCTAGGAATGGTGTCAGCTAGGAATGGTGTGGAATGGTGTCAGCTAGGAATGGTGTCAGCTAGGATTGGTGTGGAATGGTGTCAGCTAGGAATGGTGTCAGCTAGGAATGGTGTCAGCTAGGAATGGTGTCAGCTAGGATTGGTGTGGAATGGTGTCAGCTGGGTTGGTGTCAGCTAGGAATGGTGTGGAATGGTGTCAGCTAGGAATGGTGTCAGCTAGGAATGGTGTGGAATGGTGTCAGCTAGGAATGGTGTCAGCTAGGAATGGTGTGGAATGGTGTCAGCTAGGAATGGTGTCAGCTAGGAATGGTGTGGAATGGTGTCAGCTAGGAATGGTGTCAGCTAGGAATGGTGTCAACTAGGAATGGTGTCAGCTAGGAATGGTGTGGAATGGTGTCAGCTAGGAATGGTGTCAGCTAGGATTGGTGTCTTGATGTAGAGTTAGTTCAGCAATCGGTCTGATAAAATTTACTTCTCCTACTGGGGGGCCATTTGTCCTTAGATTAATTTAATGTTCACACTTGAATGGTATTTCGTCACATATCAGAAAAAAAGTCTAACTATAAACTTGCAAGATGCTGTCAAGTAAATTGGCAGGGTTTCTGGCAGGGTTTCTGGCCAAAGAAAATTGATGCCAGACGGAGAGAGTTGGGCAAGAGAAATGTCCGCCATCTTTCCCTTGAAGCAGAGAGACATGTTTGAGATACATATATCAGAGAGACATGTTTGAGATACAGATATCAGAGCCATCCAATCAAAGAATTGTCAGGGTTTAGTGATCTAACATTTGAGGCGGGTCGCCCTCTCTAGACTGGGGGATGGAGAAAACAAAGCTTTGATAAATATGGCAACCTTCTTGACGTCCGCGGCTCAACACAGTCTATATAGAGATTGGGGCTGTTTGATTGGATGCTGGAGTGTCGCAGTCCATTTTACTACCACAGGAAAGGCTTGGCTAGAGTGTACGGTAAACTTTGCAGACTTAATAGATTATATTTAGTCACGTGGCAAACTTGATACATCGAGATTAGTCATACAGCAGATTTGATACATCACGATTAGTCATATAGCAGATTTAATACATCACGATTAGTCATATAGCAGATTTGATACATCACGATTAGTCATATAGCAGATTTGATACATCACGATTAGTCATATAGCAGATTTGATACAACACGATTAGTCATATAGCAGATTTGATACATCACGATTAGTCTTGCGTAGATGATGACACTTATTTCTTGAAGTCTAGTCGAGGCAGCTTATATGGATGGTAAAATAGACAGATTCTTGGACCTTTGGGGTTTTACAGTTGGAAAGGTTTTGATTGGTTGTGGCTACCGAGATGTTTTTTTTCATGAGCAGCTGGTGATAAGTAGGTCAAAGATGGCGGATTGGGTGATTTTAGCATGACTGGTTCTAAAAATAGAAGTCAGGAATCCTGAACGTATTTAACGAAGTATTGATTGTCTAACTCTAAAGCTGATCGAGGAATAAATCTAAGTCAGGAGTCGGGTAGATAGGAAGATAAATTCGTGATACCATAACTAATGAAATGATAAACGCGATGAAATCAAAGAGATGAAATTAAAACTTAGTAAAACAAAGCCATACAAAGCTCAGTGCATCAGAGCGTGACAATTGATGGAGCATGGCCATTTAGGCTTTACCGTCATTACACAACATGCCAAGCTAATGGGAAATTAATGACGTCACACGTTTATTGTTGGCATTGTTACATTGTTCTACTGTTCTATTCCACCCATTTTTGTTACATTGTTCGACTGTTCTATTCCACCCATTTTTGTTACATTGTTCGACTGTTCTATT